GGAAGAGCGTTCTGGATAAAAACACCTGGGGAATTGGGGAAAGAGTGAATGAGTTGAGATATCCGCCTCTCACGAAACGCAAGACTGACGTGGCTAGATTTTTGCTTCAGTATAGGAAGGGACCATCATGGGTTACGGTGGTCACTTCGATGATTTTTTTACTGGCGTTGGGTGCAAGTTTTAACTTGGATTTTTGGCAATAATTACATAATTGTAATGTATATGGTTTTATTATTAAAGGAAATAAATCACAGCTCTTCCGTATTATTTAATTATCGGTGAAGTCGGGATCTCCAAAGTCTCTACAATGTTAAAAAATTGGTCGAAGATTATTTCGACAGAACTTTTTTCGCGCGATCCGTACAAGTGCGGACAATGTAAAATATATTTAAGACAATCAACGGGACAAAAGGTTTTCGAAAAATCCAAAAACTGAAAAATCGAAATATCGAAAAATCAAAAAATTACAAAAAAAAAACCGGAAAATCCAAATCCGAAAATTCGAATGGTGAAAAATTGAGAAATCGAAAACTTGAAAAATCGAGAAATCTAAAATTCGAACAATTTTTAAACTCTTAAAACCAAGATGTCAAGAAATCAAATTTAAAAATTGTAAAATCGAAAGATGTAAAATTCAAAAACCGAATAATTGAAAAATCAATAACATAAAAATAAAGAATTAAAAATCGAAATACTGAAAAATATAATTATCGATGAACTGAAGAATTGAAAAATCTAGAAATCGAGAAACTGAAAAATCGAAAGCCGAAAAGTGTAAAAATCGAGCAGTCAAAAAGTCTAAAAATTAAATTATCGAAAACTGTTCAGAAATTGAGAAATTCCCAAAATTGAAATGTTGAAAAATCGAAAAATTTTTAAATCTTAAAAGCGAGATTTTTAAATACATATAGAAAATATTACAATCCAGATGTCAAGAAATAGAGTCAAAAAATTGTTCAGTCATAAAACGTAAAATTTCAAAAATCGAAGAACTGAAAAATCAATAAAATGAAAAATAAAGAATTTAAAGAATCGCAATTCTGAAAAATAGAAATATGGATGAACTGAAGAACTGAAAAATCGAGAAATTGAAAAACTGAAAAATTGAAATCCGAAAAGTTGAAAAATCGAGCAGTCAAAAAATGGTAAAATTAAAATATCGAAGAACTAAACGATCCAGAAATTGAAAAATTCCCAAACTTGAAATGTTGAAAAATTGAGAAATTCCAAATATAATACGATGAAAAATTGAGAAATCGAAAACTTGAAAAATCGAAAAAATTTTAAAATCTTAAAACCGAGATCTCAAGAAATGGAACAAAAAAATCGAACTGAAAAATCGAGAAATCGAGAAACCGAAAAATCGAAATCCGAAAAGTGGAAAAATCGAGCATTCAAAAAATCGAAAAATAAATCAAAACTCAATGATTCCGATTTTGAAAAATTTACAAAATTGAAGTGTCGAAAAATTTTAAAAATCTTAAAACCGACATGTCAAGAAATCGAATAAAAAAATCGTAAAATCGAAAAATGTGAAATTTCAAAAATTGGAGAATTGAAAAATCAATAAAATAAAAATAAAGAATTTAAAGAATCGAAATTCTGAAAAATAGAAATATGGATGAACTGAAGAACTGAAAAATCGAGGAATTGAAAAACTGAAAAATTGAAATCCGAAAAGTAGAAAAATAGAAAAATTAAATTATCGAAAAACTGAACAACCCAAAAATTAAAAAATTTCCAAAATTGAAATGTTGAAAAATTGAGAAATTTCCAAATTGAAATGTTTTAAAAGTTAAGAAATTCCCAAAAATAGTATGTTGAAAAATTGAGAAAGCGAGAAATCTAAAAACCCAAAAATTGAAAATTTTTTAAAATCTTAAAATCGAGATATCAAAAAATCGTAAAATCGAAAAATGTAAAATTTCAAAAATTTGAGAATTGAAAAATCAATAAAATAAAAAATGAAGAATTTAAAGAATCGAAATTCTGAAAAATAGAAAGATGGATGACCTGAAGAATTGAAAAATCGAGAAATTGAAAAACTGAAAAATCGAAATCCGAAAAGTGAAAAAATCGAAAATTTAAATTATCGAAAAACTGAACAATCCAGAAATTGAAAAATTCCCAAAATTCAAATGTTGAAATATTGAGAAATTCCCAAAATTGAAATGTTGAAAAATTAAGCAATTCCTAAAAATTGTATGTTGAAAAATTGAGAAATCGAGAAATCTAAAAATCCAAAAATTGAAAAATTTTTAAAAACTTAAAATCGAGATATCAAGAAATCGAATAAAAAAATCGTAAAATCGAAAAATGTAAAATTTCAAAAATTGGAGAATTGAAAATTCAATAAAATAAAAATAAAGAATTTAAAGAATCGAAATTCTGAAAAATGGAAATATGGATGACCTGAAGAATTGAAAAATCGAGCAATTCGAAAACTGAAAAATCGAAATCGGAAAAGTAGAAAAATCGAAATATTAAATTATCGAAAAACTGAACAATCCAAAAATTGAAAAATTTCCAAAATTGAAATGTTGAAAAATTAAGAAATTTCCAAATTGAAATGTTGAAAAATTAAGAAATTTCCAAAAATAGTATGTTGAAAAATTGAGAAATCGAGAAATCTAAAAATCCAAAAATTGAAAAATTTTTAAAAACTTAAAATCGAGATATCAAGAAATCGAATCAAAAAATCGAAAAATCGAAAAATGTAAAATTTCAAAAATTGGAGAATTGAAAATTCAATAAAATAAAAATAAAGAATTTAAAGAATCGAAATTCTGAAAAATGGAAATATCGGTGAATTGAAGAATTGAAAAATCGAGACATTGAAAAACTGAAAAATCGTAATCCGAAAAGTGGAAAAATCGAAAAATTAAATTATGGAAAAACTGAACAATCCAGAAATTGAAAAATTCCCAAAATTGAAATGTTGAAAAATTGAAAAATTTCCAAAATTGAAATGCTGAAAAATTAAGAAATTCCCAAAAATAATATGCTGAAAAATTGAGAAATCGAAAACTTGAAAAACCGGGAAATCTAAAAATCCAAAAATTTAAACATTTTTAAAGTCTCAAAAGCGAGATGTGAATAAATCGAATTAAAAAATCGTAAAATGGAAAAATGTAAAATTTCAAAAATCGGGTAATTGAAAATTCAATAAAATAAAAATTAAGAATTTAAAGAATCAAAATTTTGAGAAATAGAAATATGGATGACCTGAAGAATTGAAAAATTGAGAAATTGAGAAATTGAAAAACGGAAAAATCGTAATCCTAAAAGTGGAAAAATCAAAAAATTAAATTATGGAAAAACTAGACAATCAAGGAATTGAAAAATTCCCTAAATTGAAATGTTGAAAAATTAAGAAATACACTAAAATTGAAATGTTCGAAAATTAAGAAATTCCAAAAAATAATATGTTGAAAAATTGAGAAATCGAAACCTTAAAAAAAGAGAAATCAAAAAATCCAAAAATTGAAGAATTTAAAAAATCTTAAAACCGTGATGTCAAGAAATGGAGTTAAAAAATCGTAAAATCAAAAATTGTGCAATTTTAAAAATTGAAGAGTTGAAAAGTCAGTAAAATAAAAATAAAGAATTTAGAATTGAAATTCTGAAAAATAGAAATATCGGGGAATTGCAGAATTGAAAAATCGAGACATTGAAAAACTGAAAAATCGTAATCCGAAAAGTGGAAAAATGGAAAAATTAAATTATGGAAAAACTGAACAATCCAGAAATTGAAAAATTCACAAAATTGAAATGTTGAAAAATTGAAAAATTTCCAAAATTGAAATGTTGAAAAATTAAGAAATTCCCAAAAATAATATGCTGAAAAATTGAGAAATCGAAAACTTGAAGAACCGGGAAATCTAAAAATCCAAAAATTGAAACATTTTTAAAGTCTCAAAAGCGAGATGTGAATAAATCGAATTAAAAATTCGTAAAATCGAAAAATGTAAAATTTCGGATAATTGAAAATTCAATAAAATAAAAATTAAGAACTTAAAGAATCGTAATTCTGAAAAATAGAAATATGGATGAATTGAAGAATTGAAAAATCGAGAAATTGAAGAACTGAAAAATCGAAATCCAAAAAGTGGCAAAATCGAAAAGTGAAATTATGGAAAAACTGAACAATCCAGAAATTTCCAAAATCGAAATGTTGAAAAATTAAGAAATTCCCAAAAATAACATGTTGAAAATTGAGAAATCGAAAACTTGAAAAATCGAGAAATCTAAAAATCCAAAAAGTGAAAAATTTTTTAAATCTTAAAACCGTGATTTGGGAGTTGAAAAATCGTAAAATCGAAAAATGTAAAATTTTAAAAAATGAAGAATTGAAAAAGCAATAAAATAAAAATAAAGAATTTAAAGAATCGAAATTATGAAAGATATAATCTGGATATACTGAAAAATCGACGAATTGAAAAACTGAAAAATCGAAATCCGAAAAGTGGCAAAGTCGAAAAGTTAAATTATCGAAAAACTGAACAAACCAGAAATTGAAAAATTAAGAAATTCGCAAAAATCGTAAGTATGATGAAATAAAAAATTTAAAATATTGAAAAATTGAAAAATAGAAATATGGAAAGAAGATATTGAAGAATTGCAAAATCGAGAAACCGAGAAATCGAGAACTCAAGAACTTGGCAAATCGAGAAGTCGAAAAATCTTACATTTAAAAAATTGAAAAATTAAAATATCGAAAAATAGAAGAACCGAGAAACCGAAAATTTCAAAATTTTAAAAAATCTAAAAATTTAAAAATCGGATCATCCGAAAATTGGAAAGTCGAAAAATCGAAAACCAAGAATCAGCATATCGTAAAATTGAAAAACTGAAAATTAAAAGATCGCGAAATCGAAAGTTGGTAAAATCGATTAATCGAAAAATCATAAATCAAATCATAAATTAAAATAACAATAAAAATAATAACTGTACAAAAGTAACTTTTTTTTATGATTGAAAAATATCAGGACATTAGAACGATGACTGCAGAAACACGTGTGATGCAGACAGGTATAGACACTATTATTAATGATTACATAAAAACTAGCCAAAATGAAAACAAATTGGAGAATATTCACACGATTGTGCATGCATGCTTCCCAAGCGCGACCAACAACAAAAAAATGCATTTAAAACAATTTATCCGAATAAATTAGGCCCGAAAATGATGAAATCTGCAATAAAAGTAACTCATCAAGCCATATACGAACAAATTCGGCTGCAGAAAACCAAAAACCCATTCAGTCTCGCCAATTTCCCATAAAAAAACAAAAAGTGGGGACTTGCAACGAATCATAGAGCCAATCCTCTCAATGTAGTGGTCAAACTAGTCTTAACTGCACCAACGATGCTGCAAGACCTGAATCCGGTCGACGTGGTGGCCACAGCCCGCCGTACTTTTAACAGTGGTACCACCAGAAACCTGCACCAGCGCAAGAAGTCCCTCCGAAGCCTCGTTAACTTCTTCCAGGAACAGGAAGACGCCATCATCGAATGTGTCTTCGCAGACTCGCGAAAGAACAGAGAAGAAACGCGGTTGGAAATTTACGCGGCGATTTCTCACATCCAGCACTTAATCGACAACGTGGGCAAATGGGTGAGCGGGGAAAATGTGCGGAAGCGATGGGTCAACACGCTGGACAAAATTTACGTGCACAGCAAACCATATGGGGTGGTTCTTTTGATGCCTTGCTGGAATAAGCCCATCTTGAGTTTGCTACCTCTGGCAGGTTCGTCGCTTGTTTTTATCTTGGTTCGGGTATTAATGGGTGGTTTTAGGAGCTATAGCTGCGGGTAATTGCGTCGTGATTAAACCTGCCCATAATGGACACCATTTTGGGAAATTTTTGGCAACAGTTTTGCCTTCGTACTTGGATCCTGAGTGCTACCCGATTTTTTGCGAAAAAAACGACTGTGTGGACAAGCTCCTAGAGGAAAAGTTTGATTATATATATTTCACGGGGACGGCTTCAGTTGGAAGAATTATTCACAGAGCGGCCAACAAATATCTAACGCCTATTAGTTTGCAGTTGGGGGGTAAAAACCCGGTTTATATTGATTCTAGTGCTGATTTGGAACAAGCGGCTGCCCGGATAATTCGGGGCAAGTGTTTCAACTCGGGACAAACTTGTTCGTGTCCGGATTACGTCCTTTGCTCAAAACCAATCACAGAGCGCTTCGTCGAACATGCCAAAACTGCCATCGAACGATTTTACCCAGACTCCCAACACTGTCCCATAGTTAACGACCACCAGCTCCAGAGATTGTCAAACTTGCTCAAAGGCCTGGACATAGCACTAGGAGGCGGAGTGGATTTTACCCAAAGAACCATGCAACCCACCGTTGCAGTTAACGTCTCCCCGGATCACCCCATCATGGAAGAGGAGATCTTGGGTCCCATTTTACCCATCGTGACGGTTAACAGTACGGAAGAAGCGGTTAACTGCATTAACAGACGGGAAAAACCTCTGGTGATCTATCTCTTCTCGAAAAAATCGAGCGTGAAGAGGTTTTTTATCGAGAATACTACTTCTGAGGCTGTTACGGTTAACGATACCATAGTGGAGAGTTTGCCCTATGGTGGGCTGGGTTCTAGTGCCATGGGACGTTTTGATAGTTTTGACACCAACAAGAAAATTGGTCCGGATAAAAACACCTGGGGAATTGTGGAAAGAGTGAATGAGTTGAGATATCCGCGTCCGACGAAACCCAAGACTGACTTGGCTAAATTTTTGCTTAAAAATAGGAGGCGACCATCATGGGTTTTAGTGGTTACTTCGATTGTCGTTTTACTGGCGTTGGGTGCAAGTTTTAAGTTAGATTTATGGTCATAATTACATAATTATAATGTATATGGTTTTGTTATTGAAGGAAATAAATGACTTTCCTCGCTCCACTGGCATAAATAAAATTCCCACGGGGGCAAAGTCCAAGGGGGAGCTGTCCGTTCAAGTGCGAATAATGTAAAATATATTTAAGGCAAACAATCAACGGGAAAAATGGTTTTCCAACAGTCGAGAAATTTAAAAACCGAAACATCGATAAATCAAAAAATTCTTAAAATCAAAAAATTGAAAAACCGAAAAATCGAAATCCGAAAAATTGAAAAATTAAAATATCGAAAAACTGGACGGTCAGAAATTGAAAAATTCCCTGAAATGTTGAAAAATCGAGAAATCTAAAAATTGAAAAGTCGAAAAAATTTTTAAATTTTACAAGCCAGAAGTCAAGAAATGGAATAAAAAAATCGGAAAATGCAATAATTGTAAAATTTACAAATAGAAGAATTGAAAAATCAATGAAACATAAAAAATTTAAAAATCCGAAAATTAAAAAATCGAAGAACTCAAGAATTATAAGAACGAGAAATCGAAAAATCTAGCAATTAAAAAATAAAAAAATTGGTAGAAACTTATTTCGACAGGACTTCCCTCGTCTCGTCTCTTTGAAAAATTCAAAGTGGGATTTGTGGCACTTTGAATTTTTTGTGGAAAGGTGGTTCAAACAATTTAATTAATCAATCAATTTCTTTTATTGATTAAATCAGTATCAGTATCGCTGTGTTTTTCCAGAAAATGTTGGGTATTCGATACTGTTATTTTTCAATTTCCATTTTACCCTAAATAAAATAAGTCAGTGAAATGAAGAAAGTAGGTGGGCGGGGCTAAATTTAGTTTTTTTCTAGTTTTATCGTCAAGCAGTAGCCCCGCCCACCCACCCCTTCTTCGTTCCAGTGACTACTATTTATCTTGTTCACTGCTATCTTTGCAAGTTTTAGACCCACCCACCCTCTATTTTCTCAGAGGGTATGGCATTTGCCAAAATCAGTCTTGTCTTATCAAATACTTGCCCCGCCCGCCCACCCTGTTTTCTTAGAGAGAATGTCAAAAGTGCCAAATTCAGTCTTATCTTACCAAATACTAGCCCCACCCACCCACCCTCTGTTTTCTTGGAGAATATGTGATCTGCGAAAATTAGTCTTATCTTAGCTAGTACTAGCCCCGCCCACTCCCCTTCTTCTCATTATAACGACTAATTATATTTCAGTTCCGTATAGGATCATTCATTTCATTCGGATCGGATAAAATTAATCGTTGAGAAGGAGGAAGGGGGGTGGGTGGGCGGGGCTAATCATGTTCTTCTAGCGAGAGGGAGTAGCAACTAATAATAGAAACGAAGTCGAAAATAACTTCTGGTTGAAAAATGGACGAAAATGTCAAAAATGCCAAAATCACTCTTATCTCACCAAATACTAGCCCCGCCCACCCACCCTCTATTTTCTCAGAGGATATGGCACTTGGCAAAATCAGTCTTGTCTTATCAAATATTTGCCCCGCCCAGCCCGCCCACCCTCTGTTTTCTTAGAGAGAATATCAAAAGTGCCAAAATCAGTCTTATCTTACGAGATACTAGCCCCGCCCACCAACCTCTGTTTTCTTGGAGAATATGTGATTTGCGAACTTTAGTCTTATCTTAACTAGTACTAGCCCCGCCCACTCCCTTCTTGTCATTATAACGACTAATTATATTTCAGTTCCGTATAAGATCATTCATTTCATTCGGATCGGATAAAATTAATCATTGAGAAGGAGGAAGGGGGGTGGGTGGGGCTAATCATGTTCTTCTATCGAGAGGGAGTGGCAACTAATAATAGAATCGAAGCCGAAAATGACTTCTGGTTGAAAAATGGTCGAAAATGTCAAAACTGCCAAAATCAATCTTATATTACCAAATACTAGCCCCGCCCACCCACCCGTATTTTGTCAGAGGATAATTCATTTGCCAAAATAAGACTTATCTTAGCAAGTACTGGCAAGTACTACCCTCTGAGAAAATAGCGGGCGGGGCTAGTACTTGGTAAGATAAAACTGATTTTGGCAAATGACATATCCTGTGGGAAAATAGAGGGCGGGTGGGCGGGCCTAGTATTTGTTAAAACTGATTTTGCCCCTATTGATCTTGTAAAAATTGATGAAATTTAAAGGTGTCAAATTGCAAATTTCCATAGTAACGAGTTAAATTCCTAAATCTACCCGAAATGTGCAAAATATGATGAGTTTTACTTGTGATTTATCATTGCATTCATACTTTTTAGCTCTGCTGAGACAGGTGGTTCAAAAAAAATTAATGAATCAGTCAATTTATTTTATTGATTAAATTAGCATCAGTATGGCTGTATTTTCCCAGAAAATTTTGGGTACACAACACCGTTATTTTTCAATTTCCATTTTAACTAAATAAAATAAGTCAGTGAAATAAAGAAAGTAGGTGGGCGGTGCTAAATTTAGCTTTTTTCCAGTTTTATCGCCAAACAGTAGCCCCGCCCGCCCACCCCTTCTTTGTTCCAGTGACTACTCTTTATCTTGTTCAGTCCTATCTTTGTAAGTTTTAGCCCCGCCCACCCACCCTCTATTTTCTTAGAAGTATGACGTTTGCCACAATGAGTCTTATCTTAGCCGATACTAGCGCCGCCCACACATGCTATTCTCATTCAAACGATTTTATCCCTCTTCAGTTGAGATTCAACTCTCAGTCGGAGTAGACGAAATGAATTACTGAAATCAAGGCGGGGTGGGTGGGCGGGGCTAAGTTAAACTTTTTCGTACAGAATATTTCATAAACAAACAATAGCGCCGCCCAACCACCATCTCTTCATTCCAGTGATTATTTTTAATCTTGATCAGTCCTACCTTTGCAAGTATTAGATCCACAAACCCTCTATTTTCTCAGAGGATGTGGCATTTGCCAAAATCAGTCTTGTCTTACCAAATACTAGCCCCGCCCACCCACCCTCTGTTTTCTTGGAGAATATGTGATTTGCCAAAATCAGTCTTATTTTATCAAAAACTAGCCTCGCCCACCCACCCTCTGTTTTCTTGGAGAACATGTGATTTGCCAAAATCAGTTTGATCTTAGCTAGTACTAGCCCCGCCCTCTCCCTTTTTTTCATTATAACGACTAATTATATTTCAGTTCCGTATAAGATCATTCATTTCATTCGGATCGGATAAAATTAATCATTGAGAAGGAGGAAGGGGTGGGCGGTGCTAATCATGTTCTTCTATCGAGAGGGAGTAGCAACTAATAATAGAAACGAAACCGAAAATGACTTCTGGTTGAAAAATGGTCGAAAATGTCAAAAGTGCCAAAATCAATCTTATCTCACCAAATACTAGCCCCGCCCACCCACCCGTATTTTGTCAGAGGATAATTCATTTGCCAAAATAAGACTTATCTTAGCAAGTACTGGCAAGTACTACCCTCTGAGAAAATAGCGGGCGGGTGGGCGGGGCTAGTACTTGGTAAGATAAGACTGATTTTGGCAAATGACATTCTGTGGGAAAATAGCGGGCGGGTGGGCGGGGCTAGTATTTGTTAAAACTGATTTTGCCCCTATTAATCTTGCAAAACTTTAAAGGTGTTAAATTGCAAATTTCAATAATAACGAGTTAAATTCCCAAATCTACCCGAAATGTGCAAAATATTTTGAGTTTTTACTTGTGATTTATCACTGTCTTCATATTTTTTTAGATTTGCTTATACAGATGTCTCAAAAAAAATAATGAAGGTGTCGATTCATTTTATTGATTAAATCAGGATCGCCTCACTCTATTTTCCCAGAAAATTTGGGGAATACAATACTGTTATTTTTAGTATTACAGTGCACCAATTATCTGAGATTATCTGCCTAATAAAAATTTGAACAGACGGTAGACAGAGTGAACCAGGAGACCTAATTTTTCATACTCTGTGGGTCATGAAATGTCGAGAAAACATAAAAGTAGCCAGTCGTAATTTTAGTGACTTAAAGTGTACTGTCAAAATGCCAATATATTAACTTTGAAAAACCTTTCCCTAAACTATAACCCGCCGCATCGCGTCGAGTTCTTAGCCAATCGACGCATACATCAACGATTGATATAATATATTTTTGTAGTTTATGATGTTACTATTAAAATTAACTAGTCTTCCTTTAAAAAATAATAGAAACTTAAAAGGACATTAGAACGTCGACTGCAGAAACACATGTGGTTCAAACACGTGTCGACACTAATTCATTATTCGATAAAAACTAGCCAAAATGAAAAAAATTGGAGGATCTTCAGACAATTGTACATGCATGCTTCCCAAGCGCGACCAACAATAAAAAAATGTATCTAAAACACTTTAAATGCATACATTAGAACCGAAAATGATGAATTCTGCATTAAAATAATTCATGCCGCATACGAACAAATTCCGCCTCATAAAACCAAAAATCTATTCAGTCCCGCCAAGTTTCCCCAAAAAAACGAAAAGTGGGGACGAAACATAAAGTCAAACTTCTCAATGCAGTGGTCGAATTAGTGTTTGCACCAACGATGCTACAACAACTGAATCCGGTCGACGTGGTGGCCAAAGCCCGCCGTGCTTTCAACAATGGTACCACCAGGAGCCTGCAGCAGCGCAAGAAGTACCTCCGAAGCCTCGTTAACTTCTTCCAAGGACAAGAAGACGCCATCATCGGATGCGTCTTCGCAGACTCGCGAAAGAACAAAGAAGAAATGCGATTGGAAATTTACATGGCGATTTTTCACACCCAGTACTTACTCGACAACGTGGACAAATGGGTGAGTGGGGAAACTGTGCCCAAGCGATGGGTCGACACGCTGGACAAAATTTACGTGCACAAGGAACCATATGGGGTGGTTCTGCTCATAGCTTGCTGGAATAAGCCCATCTTGAGTTTGCTACCTCTGGCAGGTTCGTCGTTTTTTTTATCTTGGTTGGGGTATTAATGGGTGGTTTTAGGAGCTATAGCTGCGGGTAATTGCGTCGTGATTAAACCTTCCCATAATGGATACAATTTTGG